CTAAACTTTGGCGCCCTTTCCTTTTCCCAGCTAGCTTGCAGTACCTCTTAGTAGGATGTCCAGCTCTATGTCTCTTTAGATTAATAATTCATGAGCACCCTCGCCCTCCCTCTATTTCAGTTTCTACATCTCTTTACCATCTCTCGCTTACAAACCACATCCTGACCACACTGTCACGAGAGACAGAATCCAATTATGTGACTATAAAAATGATATAGAATTCAAATGAAATACTTACTTCATATAATGTTACATAAACATTTTATATAAACCTACATACATAATTTAAACGCAGTCTCGTAAACAAACTTATGCACACGCTGATGGCATAATGACAGTGCGCACAGTTCTGCAGTCTTTAGAATACATGGCTACTTTTGGATGACAGGCTTTTTGTCCGCAATATGCTTAGCCTACGGCATCTACCAGCAGATGTGATCAGGGCCCGTATTCACAAAACATTTTATCTTACCACTAAGAGTTCTCCTAAATAGCAGTAAAAGTTTTTAGATAAGAGTTTTCTCTTAAAACCTATTCACAAAACTGCTGAGACTAACTTTTACTAAGCAATAGAGAGTAAGGGGGCGGGGTTGACCTCGTTGCTATGGATGATGTCAGCATGCTTACTAACTATGCACACAGTGATTGGCTGAAAGGGGAGGAGGGGTCTCTGTCAGATTTATTCATGTAAATATTGTAGAGCACGATGTTGCCATATATAAAGGTTTTAAAAATAAAAATGTTGCCACATTCAAATAAAGATTTTAAAATGCAGGCTAAGTGTCACTAATTAAACAAGTATATGTTCAGCTAATTGTCAGCCTCTTCCATGTATGCTTCTCGTAAACAATTAGCGGATATGCATATAAACAGTCTTTTAATTAACAGAGTAGAATAATTATGGCTGATAGCAATACATGCAAATGTAAAAAACAAAAAAACAAAAAAAACACTGGACTCAAGAACAGCTGTTACTTCTTGCCCAACTGGTTAATGAAAACAAGGATAATCAAAGTAAACCTCCAAAACCAAAGGCGATACCTTTTTAAAAGCTCATTATCGTCAAATGTTTATAAAATGTTTACATTCAGAGGCAGATTGCCGGCATCAGCCATTTGAGGATAGTTTGTGGCTTGGTCTTAGTGACTTAGGAGTCCTTTTCACTACTCCTAACCTTTCACAGATTTAGGCAAAAATGTAGGAGTCCTAAATTTAGGATTGACACAGCCATTATTTTAAAGATTTTCTCCTAATTCGGCGAGTTATGAGCTACTTTTAGCCTTAAGATGTTTCGTGAACACGGGCCCCGATGCGCATGTGCACATGGTGCTGGACATCATAGTTAGCGATTTCTTAAAGATAAATAAAGCTTTTCGACTGCAAGTCAAACAGCATGGTTGGCTGGTCCTAGCTGGTTTAAGCAGGAAGTAGCTGGTTCTAGATGGTCTCCCAGCCTGACCAGCTACGGAAATGGCCAAAACCCCTCTAAAACCAGCCTGATGTCCAGCTATGACCAGCTAAGATCAGGCTGGATGACCAGCTAAAACCAGCTTAGCCTGGTTTTAGCTGTTTTTTTCAGCAGGGACTTAAGTCTACTATTTTGAGCAGAAATAAGACACGCGTGCACATCCTACAAAAGTACAGATATAATATCACTGTGTTGTGTGTTGATAGGATAAAATGTTTAATGACCTCTGGCAGATCTTCCTTCTGAAGGCAGTAGATGATCTGTGTGTATTCTGACATGTTTTGCTGTTCTATGATTGTCAGATTTACAAACACAGACACGTGAGGATATTGAGTATGTTAAATAGTTTTCCGCCATCTAGTGGAATATGATGGCATGACAATGAATAATAACTCGAGACACACTGCAAAAGTGGGGTAAGAAAAAGAATCTTAATTTAAAGGCAAAACAAGATTCTTGCCCCATCGTCAGATATTTTTCCTTGTTTTAAGAAAAATCTAACAAAAATGTAATATTTTTTTAGAAAACAAGACTTCATATTTTAAGTAACTGCTTCTCAGGTAATGTTTAGATTGTTCTCAGGTAAATGTATTATTTAATATTTTTAATATACAAACACAAAGTATATTAATATAATATTAACACAATGTATAAATCAATAATATAGTAAGCTTTGTCAGTTACTTACCCTTTTGTTGTGCTTGACACAATTTCCTGCAGCAGCAGTACATCATTATAACAGCAGACATGAACACCAACAGCCACACACTGACTATTATCATTAGAATCACATACGAATGCTGGCTCTGTTCTGTAATGAACACAGAGAGAAACACTTTCTGTTCTGAATTCAGCCAAAATAATATTAAGTGTCAGTCTATATATAGGAAGCGTCAGTCTTACAACGAGCAACAGATAAGTAACATCACTGACCTGCACATGTGTGACAGAGCTGAATGATGTCCAGATGTCTGGTCTGGTTGCTGATGGGATTGTTGAGCACACAGCTGTAGGTGTTTTTCTCCTGATATTCCACCTCCAGAGGTAGAGAGAGACTGATGCTGAGATCAGACACACTGATGCTGGACAATAAACTGTTTCCTTTGTACCAGGAGAGACTCACATCACTCACATTCAACATTGAACACAGCAGTGAACATCTGGACACTGAAGATGATCCTGATGATGATGAAGAACAGTTTGAAGAGTTACTGGTGAACACAGGAATGGAAAGAGGAGCTGGAAAACATGAAAGACCAAGTATTTATCATAATCAACAAACTATTATAAAATTAATATGACGCAGATGTTTTCTTGCAAAAGCTAATCAAAAAGAAACCAACATTTTAAATGCAAGGCTGAGAAAGAAATGAATGCTTGTACATCTACTCTAAAACAATGATTGATCATTTGAGCAGCTATTTGATATATTATTTTAACATTTAGTAGTTAATTTCTGTTGTAGTTTGGGCATTTGGGGCATCATATATCATTTACAACATTGTGAGTTCAGACTAGAATTAAACATTAATGAACAATCCTAGCATTAGTGAGAGTACAGTTTACTCACCATACACAGTAACACTGAAGCTCTTCAATGAGGTTTTTCCACTGATGATGACAGTCAGTTCATAAAGTCCAGTGTGATCAGATCTGATGTTTCTGATGGTCAGAGATCCAGTTTGATTGTCCATCAGTAGTTTGTCTCTGAATCTCCCATCATTACTGACAAAAATAAAGTTTATTTGGTCCCTTTTAATGATTTCAGCTATTCGAGTGTTTTGAGGTCCAAACGTCCACCGTATCTGATCATCTCTCTGTACTTTAACATCGGTGTGTAAAGTGACAGAATCTCCCTCCAGCACTGATACTGACTTCACTTCATCTGTTTTAACATCAAACACACCTGAAACAAAGTTTTTTTTTTCATAAAAACAAAAGTTGTTCAATGCAAATTAATAGTATGGAATGAATTGAACTAATCATGTCACATTTATCTGAATTCAGTAAAAGCTAAATTAAAATGAAATCACTTACAGGTTTGACATCACATTCTTTAAAATGTGTCCGAAACGATGAACAACAGAGATTCAAGAAACAATCTAACTGTTTTCTTCCGATGACTTGATGAGTCCTAAATGCATGAACACACTGCTCACAAATACAGCGTTTGAGTCCAGACCCCATAAACTCAGCCTAAAAAAAGCAGACCACAACAGATCTCACTGAAACTCTCAAACTGAGCTGCCAGTGTGTCAGAGGGTATGAAGAGCCTCAAACAAACTGATAACAGACGCTATTTCCTAAACTATTTTGCAAGCAGGAGAGTAGGCTATATACATTTTCTGACTTTTGCATTCAGATGTTTTATTTCTCTTACTACAATATTACATATATTATTTTAATATTCCATAATCTCTCACTTACAAACCACATCCTGTGAAACCAAGAAACAGAGAAACATAATCCAATTACGACTCAAAATAATGTCTGATTCTGAAAATTATATATATATATATATATATATATATATTTGGACATTACTGTGGCATAAGAAAAAAAAACATGAATCAGTACAGAGAGCATGTTTTAGTGTGTTTATTTTTCTACAGCCATTGAAATTACAGCATAACAAAAACATCAGGTACAAAAGAACAAACCTGCAAAAAGGGCAAGAACTGTCAGTATGCTTCAGCACAAATGCTTAAACCTATTACAAACAGATTCAGTTAATATTTTCAATACTTTCAAGAAGTAAAAATCAGCATCAGCCCTGCTTAGTTTCAGTGGGCGACCAGTCTTGAGCTACAGGGTGATGTGGCTGTTTACATTATGTCAGCATTCTTTAGAAAAATAGAAAATGTATTTGAGCAAATGTGTGACATTCTGCAATATGACACTTAAGTACATACTTAGACTGAAGCTTTCACTTCTTACCGAATGCTACTTATAGGTGAAACTTGTTTGAAATTGCTTGGTATGCTACAATGTTTAAAGCAGTGTAAATTCATACAGTTCACACCAAATATATGACACATCAGTAATCAAAACAATCTGAGAATACGGTCTTTAACTTATTGTATTTATACTGGTAGGCAGCAATAAATAAAAATTACCTGTTTTTCAGAATACACAGATAATTCAGATTTTAAGGCGGTCAATAGATAAAAAGATTATTTTTTGTCACACAGATGGTGTAGTTGTGATTTTCTACCAGCAGGGGCCGACTTGATCATGCTACATGTAAAACTAGCAAATAGTCAACAGATGGAGCCTCAATGATTACATGACTGTATACATTTGGGTTGGACTCATTATACATACTGTATGTAGCTCTGGCTGGTTCTTTTTCTGAGCTTTCTTCTTTCTTTTGATCTTTTTTTTTTGTCCTGTTTTTCATGACTCTTGGTTCATAATCAGAACTAGGATAGTAATCATGTGGATGGGTGTGAAAATAATACTACACAAACCAGCTAAACTCAAGTCATGATCATACTGTGTAAGGTATGAAGCTGTGCAGCTGCAGACAAGATTGAGATCAGAAATTAACGGAGCGTCTCATTAGGTTGTCTGTTGTGAATACTCTAGACTTCTGTTCTTTCTTTCTTATTAAAGATTAATTATTTTTTCATTAAGTACTTGTACGATGAAATACTCATTTGTAGTAAACAATGCCACAACCAGTAGAATTGCAGTTCAACTTTGAGACTTGAAGCTTTGTTACATACTGACATACGCCCCAACATGCTCTGGCCTGTAATAAGATGAGCTGTATAATAATACAGTCTGAATGATCATCATCTGAAAGCCACCTCTGAATACTCTGTCTGATTCTGTCCAGTAGTCTCCTGTAAGAAAAGACACACGCATCAGGAAGAGAAAAACAGTGCTGTTACTACATATGCTTACAGCACAAAGATTTAGAAAAAACAAAGTTATACTATTTATGCATGAAAAAAAGGAATGCTGTGAGAAGTTCAAATCCCACAAAATAAGGGAATGAAATGCTTCAAGATCATGTAAGTACATGCACAGAGACACAGAAGAACTGAACTGAAGCCAAAATTCATAGCCAATGCACTTAAAACTATCAGCAGATCATGAGGGTGATCATTCGAGATCTTGAGTCCTTTAAAGGGGTCATATGATGCGATTTCAATTTTTCCTATCTCTTTGGAGTGTTACAAGCTCTTGGTGCATAAAGAAGATCTGTAAAGTTGCAAAGACTAAAGTCTCAAATCCAAAGAGATATTCTTTATAAAAGTTAAGAGTCAGCCACACCTACCCAAAACGCCTCGTTCGAACACGCCCCCACATATCTACCTCACTATCTGAGAAGATTTGCATAACACCGCCCAAATGTTCACACAAAGACACATTTCATTACACCAAATACACAAAATAATGTTCTTTTTAGCAGCATCATATGACCCCTTTAAACAAGAAAAAAATCCACTTTACAGTTATTTTTAGGCCTGGTTTCATTACTCCGGCCACAAAAGAAAAAATCAAGAAAAAGCACTTTTTTAAAAAAAAAAAGCAGTTTTTAAATTATTCATTCTGCAACATCATACGTATAAAAGTGCAGAGAACAACATTTACATTTAGTCATTTAGCAGACGCTTTTAACCCAAAGCGACTTACAAATGAGGACAATAGAATCAATCAAAATCAACAAAAGAGCAATGATATACAAGTGCTATAACACGTCTCAGTTAGCTTAAAGTGTTAGTTCACCCAAAAATTAGCCCATAAATTAATCACCCTTAAGTCATCCTAGGTGTATATGACTTTCTTCTTTCAGACTTATATTAAAAATTGTCTTTGATCTTTCAAGCTGTTTAATGGCACTCAGCGGGTGTTGCATGCATCAGTCCAAAAGAAGTTAAATAAAAAGCGCCCATCCATAAAAGAAAGTGTTTCACGCAGCTCCGGGGGGTGAACAAAGGCCTCCTGTAGCGAATCGATGCGTTTTTGTAAGAAAAATAGCCATATTCAAAACGTAACAATCACTTTAATGTAGCTTGTTCCAACAGTCCTACATGGAAGCAGCTCCGGGCGGATGACGTATGAGGTCAGCTTTGTGCATGCGCCATTCAGAAGTGACGAACGCGGAAGCGCAGAGGAGAGATCAAAACAAAACAACGGTCACTAATTAGAAGTACAAAACGAGGATTTGTAAAGAAGAATGTCGGAGGATTTCGATATAAGCCAAGAGGAGACTGGTATTCCTTTGCTAAAGTAAGGAAACTTTGCTTCCTTTGCCTCTGTAAACATACGTTGGTTTTCACGAGACTCACCAGCGCATGCGCAACGGGGGTGAACAAAGGCCTCCTGTAGCGAATCGATGCGTTTTTGTAAGAAAAATAGCCATATTCAAAACGTAACAATCACTTTAATGTAGCTTGTTCCAACAGTCCTACATGGAAGCAGCTCCGGGCGGATGACGTATGAGTTCAGCGCTGCGCATGCGCCAGTGAGTCTCGTGAAAACCAATGTATGTTTACAGGAGCAAAGAAAGCAAAGTTTCCTTACTTTAGCAAATAATTTTGCTAAACCTAATTATTACCCAGTTATTGTAATTGCAATAATGCGTAGTATGTAAACACAGAACAGGACTGTAAAATGAAGTGCTACCAAATTTTTTGTACACGAAAATACACATTTTGAGGGGCAGGGGCTCAAGTGGAAAAAAAGGGCACTTCTCATATTCATTTAAATTTTTTTCTAAACAAAATGTTAAATATATTAGGGGTGTGCGATACACTGAAAAAATGTTTCATTCATCCAATTAAAAAAATGTAGGGTAATGATTCACATCTATGTGACACATCTTGTCCCATCACATCTTGTCCCTAAGGGCAAGTTATTTATTTTTCATATTTGATGAATGAAACATTTTTTTCAGTGTATTGACAAAAAATATATCTCAATATTTTAATAGATTTTATCGATAACGATAATTAGATGATATTTTGTGTGTTATTGTGCTGATATCTCAAGGACTACCGTGGACAGCTGACTCCTACATTTTTTTATATTCTGCATATTCTGTGTGGTAATCAGTTCACAGCAGTGATAGAAATTAATCTTTTCCAATAAGTTTAAATTGATTTTTTTTCCCTTTTATGGGCATTTTTACCTTTATAAAGTCCTTTTTTCTAAAAGTGTGCATCATCTTTTCAGTCAAATTCTTAAATTGAATCAGTCA